ATGACATAGTCGAGCAGGTGAGCTTGACCACTCCGTGGGTGCGTCCAAATTGCTATATCACTCGCACTCAGTGCAAACCGAGTGTTCATGGTCGTCAGGCCGTGAGTGACACACAGTGAGAGCAGCCTGTCACAGTTCGCATTCGCTGAGCCAATGCCATGCGCACCAATGATATCTGTCCACGCCGATGCATCACGCTCGATGCGCGCCTCGAAATCACCCAGCAGAAATAGTCGGTTGCTCTTCGGCACAGACCGTATCACGGAGGATAGCTCAGTGTAGAACTGATCACGCATGTCATCAGGATAACACATGGTCGGATCGTACGTGCTTATAAAAGTAGCAAACCTATCTCTTCCGAGTCGTAGGCGAACAGTCATCAGTCGCGCGCTGATGCCTGTTGGTTCTCCCACGAACTGTCCATGGATGCGAGCGGATATTGCAAATTCGACCCCATGTTCACGTGGTGCTGAGGCGGCGTTGCCCGCCCGGTAGAATGTGTAGCCAGCACCTGCTTCATGCAACTTACCTTGCTCAGCGAGCCGAGTTTCACTGAGCGCCGCAATATCGATGTGGTAGCGTGCCAGTTCCATCGCGACGTGTGCAGTGCGTCCCTCACGGCGCTCACTCGAGTTCCGGTCCAGCAGTGTGCGCACGGTCCAGCACCCGATGCTGAGTGCTTTGCGCGCAGGCATACGATTGCATTGGTGGGCAATAGCACGCGAGGTGGCGGATGTGTTTCGGAGGTTTGCTTGAGGGACTCCACTGGAACTTTTGACTCAATAGCCTGACCCACAAGGCAGTGGGTGGTTTGGAGGTTTGTTTACAGGACTCCGCCTGGAGCCTTTGGCTTAATAGCCCGACCCACAAGGCAGTGGGGAGCAGATCTAGCTCGGGAAGTTGATTGCAGAGACAGTTGGGGATCTGCTTTACGGCCGTCACACGCAGCCTTTGTGGTTCTGGGACAATTATTATATGTGTTGCAACCGTAATAGGTTACACCTGCGACCACGACCAGACGCAGGTGGGTTTTGGCGGGTTTGCACCAATTTGATCAGGGGCTGCCTGGCTTGAGGCGGGCAGTAGCAAACCATTGAACACCCGGAGGTGTCCTCCCACCGTCAGAGACAATGCGTCGCGCTCGTGCTCTACTCCAATCGAGCTGTGAGGTTATAACCCGTAGACCTGTTGTCTCCCATGGCTAGGTTTTACTGGAAGTGGGCCATCGACCACTTAGTAACCTCCGAAGCGGATGGACTAGGATATTGCCAGGGCGCGCACAGCTGACAGGAGAACGACTCGGGTCCTCAGCCAAAGCCTTCGATTAGATGAACACCCGAAAGGCACTGGGTCTAGCACATGGTCAGTTCACTGACTCATGCAGATTGGTGTCCTGAATCTTAGCAGGGAGAAGGGCGAAACCCAAATCCCACCCAGCGGTCGCCACGAGGAGGCACCCAGGACATGAGCAAATGGCACAACAGTAGCAGCAGTGGGTAGACCATCTGTCAGGATCTAGCCACCACCAGCCTCAGCGCACCATAGGCTCTCCAGCCGAGGCTCTTATACAAGGGTGGATATCGGCAGAACCCTGCAAACTAACGGCCGATCTGCCTGACAACGGTGATTTACAAGGTCATAAGGTTACTTCTTATATAAGCCATAATTATTTGCTTAGTGAACCTGAATATCCTCTCACATTAGCAATAAAGCGGAATGCCTGTAGCTCGGGTTGTTTGTTTTGATTTAGGGTTGTTCTCCGAGCCGAAATATTTCGTTGCAGACGTTTCATGACCAGTCGAGTTGACTTCGTCAGTGCGTACTAAGCACAAATTGACCGATGATAGAGTGATGTTTGGACTTGGCCACTTCGATTCACGTCCTGTGACCATTGCTAGTTTGTAGTTCGAGCGATTGGGAGGAGATGTAGGTCGTAGCGCAGGTGGAGACAAGAAGAGGAAGGGCATTTCTCCAAGCGTGGTTCTCTACAGAGAACTCGATAAACCTGCGCATTGACTTATACCCGAACTACCATCAACTGCAAAAAAGAACTTAAAGTGGGTCCTTTACCACATGGGTCTAAAAGAGGCGGCGATCGAACTGCAAATTTGCAATAGTCACAGGACGTGAACCGAAGTGGTCAAGTTCAACCATCACTCTCTCATCGGTCAATTTGTGCTTAGTACGCACTGACGAAGTCACCTCGACTGGTCATGAAACGTCTGCAACGAAATAGTTCGGCTCGGAGAACAAACCTAAACCTGAATCATCTCACATGTTCAGCATAACTACTGGCGAGCACATTGGTGTGTCTCCAACCTCTTTGTTTCCAAAGGCAAATGGGCGAGATCGCTGTTAACTCGTTTCTGTCGATTTTAGCAAAGCATTTGATATGGTCCCTCACGGTTGTCTCCTCAAGCTCCTTGCAATCAGCGTCCCCTTGGGGAATCTCCTGGATTGTTGAGTTTCTTTGTGACCCTGGCCTATTGCTTTTTATAATTGGGGTCCCACATTGCTCTGTCCTTGGTCCATGGACTTAAGAATCAGCTGGCCCGTGGCCTTAAGGATCACAAACGGTTTCGAGTTTTCATAGGGGATCGGACAACTCTCGCAGTGTCTTTAGTAGCACGTTCAGTTCGTGATAGAATGTGTTCTTGACAGCATCAGGACTGCAGTCGGTGGGAGCATAGGCGGAAATCATAAACATACAGCCTCTTGTACTACTTCATGAACCAACCTTAGTTGGTTTCCTCAAATGGGCTGCACACAAACGGCTGTTCACCGGAATCCAATCAATCAAAAATGACTCAGCCTTCGAGCTGAGTACGATACGTACCCCAGCTTGACCCGTGAGTGCTGCGTCGGCGTCTCCGGATGCGTGCAACCAGTAGCGAGAGCACAAGTCGGGTGCAGTTAATTCAACAATCTCATGAGTCATTGATCCTAATTTCGGACACAATACACGTCAGTACCTAGTGTGTCCAACGTGCGTGCGAGTGCAGCCTGTTGACTTACTCGTCTTAGAGTGCGAACGTTGAACTGCGGCACAGTAGCTGTGTTGTATTTCACCTCTAGCTAACGTGTATAATGATGATGATGCGAACGTTGAACGCCACCAGGGAAATGGGACAGCGTTGCTTTATAAGCTACTGTTGCCGATAGGCGTCCGGTAGGTGTTGTGGGAAGGTGGCTGCAGATGGTTATACTCTAGTGTCATTTCGGGTGCTGTCAATTAAACTGGAACCTATAGAAGGAAGATTAGTAATGGGGGTCGGGATGGGAGTAAGAGACACAGGTGGAAACGAAAGAATGGTGGCGCTGGCAGTAGAATGTTTTCTCTTATCCACCCTGCTGCTTGCAGCAGATAGGGCGACCCATGATAATTTACGCTACGGCCGATGCAGGATGTAATTGGAGTTTGGGGGAATTGTAATGGTTTCATGTGGACCGAGATACTGCAAGGTTGACCAGACCTAGAAAAGAGGATGATTAGGGTCCTCAACCAAAGCATTTGGTTCAAAAGCATGTTCGCAAGGCAGCGGAAAGGTGGAAATTCCTTAATTTTACAGACATGGACGCCATCCCATTTCAAACCCTAAACCTGGAGGATCAGAAAACTGAGTTTGTCTGATCTCTAACCATTGAGCAACCTAGTAGAAGTAGTTCTCAAGTGGCCCGGAGTCACCACCCAGTATTGCTCAATGTATCAAGGATGTACGCAAACCGTCGCACCACGTCAATGTCCAGTCTCCTTGCGCTGACGGGTTGAGGTCGGAAAGTTGATGAACACGTTTGGTTGGAGATACTTATTGGCATGACCAGGAGCCGACCACAATTTCATCTGTGTTGTCGGCCTCTTTCTCCTATCCCCTTCCGTTTAATCTCTTCTTCCTACCACGATCCCGTCGATGCATAAAACAAAAGGAAGTGTAATAACATATATTTTCTGTGGCCACTCGATTTCTATTTTGTGTGTTTTCCCACTCCTAACTTATATGTAGAACGAGGATGATGTGGTGAGTGACTTTAACAATCTACTTGATCCAGTCGTCAGTTAACAAGCAGAAGAATGTCAAGCAAGTTAGATGCCAATTTGTTTGTCGAGCATAGGTCATGCTGTATCCATTGTGACCCGTGGTAACGCATCTTGGACACTGTGCTGCAACGACCCGGATCCTCCTTGCAATGAGCGGATAGTAGTTATTGGGTTGAGCTTTATTGGGTTAAGTATTTTAATGAAACTGCTGTCGCGCATCATAATCAGTCGAAGAATGAGGCCATGATAAGAGTGACACAATTATTGATCAGTGTAAAAGATGCTAATGAAGATTCGTGCGAATTTTGGTGCAATGAACTAACACTCCATACACTAAGCTGGTGACCATTCTACTCCGTTGTCTGTTCATTTGCGGAGCAATAATGCAGCTATTTTCAGTATCAGTTTTCTGTCGACTTTAGATGCACCTACCCATTTTCAATGAGACATCTCACAGCAGCGTATCAACCGGTTTGCGACAGTCTATTTTTTAATCTTCGAAGAACCGTTTTCTAGGGATCATATTTCCGATTTCTTTTCCGTATATACTAATAAGTATACATGCACCCTTACTTTCGTTTCATTCCTCCTATTTTTTCTCATTTCATTATTCACATAACGACTACATCGATTGCATTTGACGGAATCAATGGTTGTATCACTTAGTGACCAGGATGGGGTACATCCTATTTGGCCTATATGGTCTTAGAATCCATCTTAAGTCCTCCCTTTCACCACAGATTACTCAAATCGATCCTCTTCTAATTTTGTCCGGACGCTGATTCCGTGCTTACTATCTGACTGTGCAACTACCCACAATGTTCCATATTTCACGCATGTTCCTTTATCCCCTTATTCGCTGATCTCCATGGCTTTATGTTGACTCTGTGTCTAGTTAATAGACTGCTGAGATTACTACTACTACCTTTATCCCTTATACGCCTGCCAAACTTATTTTTTCTAGATCACAGGGCGCTCGTTTTAAAATCGATCCGCAATGGTCCAGGAACTTAGCATCGTATCAGATCCTGTTATGCTACATATTTGGTCTTGTCTGCATAATTACGCGTACGAAGATGCTATTTTCGCAGCGGAGCGTTTATATGCAGAAACACATAGTAGCGAGAGTCTTTATTTGCTCGCCACTAGCTTATACAGAATCGGACGCCCGAAGCAAGTTTGCCGCTTGTTACTTTCTGGTGTTCCTCTGAGCCCCAAAAGCCGGTACTCCTCAATTATCTGATTTACTTTTTTAGTTATTTGTTGGCCAAATGTTACTCCGAATTTGGGTCTCTCAATGAAGCCGAAGAGGCACTACTGGGCCATTCATTGTCCTCCAGACCGCTTGATGAAGTGGCAAGCTTGTATAACGAGCAGGCGGGTTATGCGATCCTACTGTTAGGAGATATTCAGAGGCGGCAAGGAAGATTGAGGGATGCATCTCAATGTTACAAGAAAAGCTTGGAGCTGAATCCAATGCTTTGGAGCGCGTTCAAAAATCTATGTGATATCGGAGAGCTTCCTAATCCTGCATTGGCGTTCCAACTTCACGATGGCCTTGCTCTTCCGACCGCAACTTACCGGCTACTTAATCACACTGTCGTGGGAGGGAGCGATCAAAACATTCCCAGTCAAGCTGTGCAGGACCGAGATCAGTCAGCAGTGGAGATTTGTCGTGAAAATCTGAATCCAGACAAATCATCCACCAAAACCATGCTTTCAAGTACTGGCCTCCGCGAAAAACCATGTGCGGACTACTTGGATACCACACATAACCGCGCTTATGTAACGCATTTTTCAAACTCTGTCACCGCCTGCGAGAGCAAAGGACTTGAATCCATGCAGACGCCGCAGATAAACATGTCAACTAGCAATGTGCCAATGGCACCCAAGCCTAAGCCAACACTACGGGAGTTATCGGGCTCGTTGTTCTCTGGACGGGAATTGGATCTAGACATCCGTTCTCTTTCTCCAAAGTTCGGTGCATTGGCCCTACTTTCCCAAAGTCCCATGTTTGCCTGTGTCCCTGTGAGTACCTTCAAATGCTGGTTCATCGACCTTTTGCTTGCATGGAAAATGGTAACAGTCTGGATACACTTTTGTTCAAGTGCGACTTGTATCCTAAGGCTGCTGCTATAAAAGGGATTTCTGCTCAGCAGGGTACAATCTCCTTCCACATTAATGCGAGTAAACTCATAAATGTCAGTTTATTTTGTTGGTGCCAATGCGATAAGCAAACAGGTGAATGTAAAACATAAAAATGGCATTATTTAAGGTGATGGGCTACAAGTACCATGTATGCGTGGGTACTGTGCACCAAAGTGGTTCTAGTTCGTTGACTGCACCGCGTTAACTGGTATTTTTATCTAGTATTGTTTGCTTCTATAATCTTATTCGCGCAAACGACGCATACGAGTTTTCGTGTAACCATCCAGAAATCAAAACTAAGTCTTGGTAGCGATCGAAATCTATTATCCGTAGCGCGAAGCATTATTTATATTTAAAGCACTGTGTTCCCTTTATCATTCTAAATAAATATTTATATTTATATTTATTTATATATTTACATATATTTATATTATATTTATCATGCAGTGGAGCTACGACGGCTTCTCATTGGTCAATTTTCATTTTCACTTTATCCGCCATATGTCTATGTTCATTCGTTGGCGCGCGATATTCACCCGCTGTACCCAGCCAAATCCACTTCCGCTCTGACTACAGTCACGTCCAGCTTGACTCCCGGTTGGCCGCGCTAGTTCCTCTGTCCGTGAGTATGGTCAACTCGCGTAATCGACATTTGATTCACTTTCTCTTTATTGCTCGCTACCCGCCACCACCGTTTGCTTTTTTGACCGACTGTCGTCGCATCCCGTGCCGCTAGTGTGGGATCTTTATTGGGCACGCCCCGTTCACACTCGGCTGTACGAGTTAATCCCCTTTTGCCTTTGTCCATGACCACGCTGTGCTTCGTTCACATTAGGCCGAGTCAGTCCTGCTTTGCCTCCCCTACTCACACAACTATGGTCAGCTCGCATCGGGGGCGATTTACTGGTCTCTTGTTTGCCTACACCGCGTTGATCACCTTCACCCAAGTGACCAGGTTCCACCACACGAACCTAACTTAACTGTTGTATTAGTCTTTTTCATGCACTTCCGCATCATCGACTGCCACTGATCGACTTCGACTCTCTAAGAGCATTCTTCGCAAACAATATATGTTAATCTTGGTGACTGCATTTGTAGGAATAATGTTACCAGACTATTTTAGGCACTTTTCATTTATTGCCCGTTTCACTGAGGACACGCAGGATCTAATCAATTAGCATCAGACTCCTTGCCTACGTAGTTTCGACCACAGTACTTTTCTTGAACCCTTACGGGATCCACTGTCGTGTTGCAGTGCCGCTCAATTTGCTTTCGTTTCTCACAATTATTCCTTTAACAATCGGTAATTACTCGCTGTTTTGTGTCACTTATTGAACTTCTGTTGGCTCGTCCACCGTTCATATGTCAATCGGCCACTACTTTCTGCTGAGACTACTGGTTTCTGCCTTCATTTTGGAGCCGCTTGGTGCTGTTTGACAACTAGTAGCCCAGTCCACTGTCAAGCCAGGACTAGAATGATTTCTGTACAACTATACGAGAGGCTTGCTCACATATCTCATCCAACTGTGCCTGAAGGGGCTCAGCATATTTTGATGCTCAGTGCAGTACATGAGTTCTTACATGTGGAGACTCGATTCCCCTGGAGTATATATTCAGCATATTCAGCCGGTCATCTGAACGGGAAATGCTGCAGATGCAGTAGTTTACCTGGTTGCGCATCCTAGTTTAAAACGGTTAGTTGTCCGAACAACGAAGTCTTTCTCGTCAGTACCAATACGATAACTGGGAAATCTTTTTTAGAAGAGCTTTCTTAGGGGAATTCTTCGATGTTAAATAGTGCCAGTTCAGAGACTTATCCTACTTTGATGGATTTGGTTTGACTTCCTAACGAAGTCGCTTATCCGCACTTTGTTACTGCGTCTCGCTTAAATGCAACAGTTGCGTGTTTTAACAATGTTTAGCTAGACAAAATCTGTCGGTTCTCTTAACAGTCGTCCGAAAGCTTGCTTCAGTATATATGCTATGCTCCCTGGAACAGCCAATCTGGTCACCACAGATCAATCATTATTATCCTATGAATTAGCGGCATGGCCACTAATAGCTATAAATGACTGCTGAACGCGTTGCACTGCATCTTCTGTGAGAGCACCGTGGTATTGCCGCATATTTCAGCCAATATCTTCAGGTACCGCATTGGATAAGATTTCATCTTCGAATCATCTGAGCTGCCTGACTCAGTCCATCTTTGTTACTGATGGCGCTGTTGATCGCGTGAAGCCCAACTGTGATCGGTGGGAATCGTTTCAAATGGATGGGGACTTTGGCCGAAATATTGGATTGGCTTGTACTCTATATCTTGGACTAGCTTTTACCTTCAGTCTCCCTGGGTCGGTTGCATCCCTGGTTGTATCAGTAGTAATGGCAGCGGCTGGCGACCTCCGTTTCCGGGTTGGTCTGTCACTACTACTGCGGACTGCCAAAGGACGTCCGCAATAACAGGGAAATCATGGATGCCTTTGCTGCACTACCCACGGATAGGTGTCGAATGAAAGCTTTATTGGCGACCTAGGAGGCTAACATCGAGAAACACGTTCCTCTGTGTGGGAACACTACTCATTTTGCAACTGAACGATGTCTGATAGGGCATCCATCCACATTTACGCAGCCATTTCTAGACCTCCTTTCAGGAAGATGGTGGACGCTGCGTACAAATAAGTAACTTGGATTCTCGACATTTTAACATTGGGGCCCACGAGTAACACTTACCCTTGTGGTATAGTTCGAGCCACTTGCTAACCCTGTCGTTTGTCACGGTTTTGATCTTAACACATCAAGCAACCCTACTTTTGTCTGAAAGTCTGCTCTCACTTTGCAGCTCTGTCCACCACTTTGACAAGATTGGACCTTGACGTGATTCGGTAGTTATTGTACCTCCAACCCATCAAGCTATACTGGGTGGGACCTTTGGCTTCTTTACATCTACTCCTACCAGATTGGTCTGGTTAAATGTCTAGTTCAGCCTTCTGACCCTTCATGTAAGTTGTTTTAAATGATGAAGTCTGAGTAACCGAACAAAAGTTTCCGATGATTCAGTGCAGTTACATTAGAACCTAACATTTTATACAGACACAACGGGTCCTCAGACATCCACTGGATTCTAGTGTGTGATTGCAAGCACCGACGGCCAGCTCCCCGCTGTAGTCACACGCTCGCATGGGTCAATCAATCGGTCCTGGCCAAGCTAGACTCAACGCGTGAGTGAAGCTTTTCTGCGTTCACAGCCATGGTTTGTACAACCAAATGGCGATGGTTTCTACGGCGTCTAGTATCCGCTTACGAAAATACTTCGATCGATTTTCTACGACTTGACACATTACTTTGAACGAATCAACCGACTTGGTGGCACAAGTATTTTCCGCAAGATGCGCAATGGCAGTTTGTGGCCTTTTGACCTCCATTTCCGAGCCAGACTGGATGGTGTTCCTTCACCCTTTCGGATAAGCGCCTAGTCGTACGACCAAGGTAACCTGCTCCACAGGAACAGGTGGTCTTCAATTCTACAAAACCGGATCACCACCATTGCCTCACCTCCGTGTGGCCAGGCATTTGAGCCGAAGTTTTTGACTGGGAACCCCAGTAGTTTTCACGTATGGGTATGGGCGCCCTGGCAGTATCCCAGTCCAGGTACAACCGACCGTTCCAGCAAACTTCTGCCATTGCTGCCGCTTCCGCTAATTATGATGATGTAGTTCAGTATAATGCATCCTAAAAACCCGAACCCATGTAAAAGCGGCGACTCGGATTCATGGCTTAGAATTTCCAAACCGAACGTTTGAACTACTTGGCCACGTGTCCAAAGGACAAGACGGCTTCGTTTTCTATCCGCACTAGGATTCAGTCTACCTATGATTGGAGCGTCATGTTTTTTTCTTCACAAAGCCACTTCATCAATGATGCCCTACACACTATTAAGCCGTCTCTAGCGGAGACCTTTTGGTGCCTAACTCATTCGTGGACACTTCGTTATCGAAAATAAATGACTTTCTTAACTTCTTTCCCTAATGACCCACTTTCAGCCATGTGAATTAGTCGGAGAACCACGTAGGAACATTACAATTATCGATTTTCCACCCATATACTTGTTGTACCATCTGTTTTCCTGGAGTGTGTGCGCTTTTCTCCTTCATTCAATGCGATCACTTCCTGTATCTTACCAATAACTGGCGTCTCGCATAGCTACGTATGCTTCAGGTTTTCTTATAGGATCCCTATCCATTTTTCACCGTATCCTGTAAGATATGACGGGATTATCGATGTGCCTCGAATGGAATTGTCATGTTTTTCTTAGTCGAGATTTAAGAAGAGATGTATTGGTTAGACGAGCAATCAAAAAGAAACATTCTAATCTACTGAACTGACTAGTTTCTACAAGATATCGACATCGTGGATCATCACCTGGAAGTGTGCTGAACGGAAAAATACTGTCCTATTACCTGCACGGTGTCACCATCCACAGATATAGCGCTTTTTAGTAGTCAATTTGGGCATCTGAACTATCCAAGCTTAGCCCAGTCCCGTCGTCATCTTCCGTTGTCCTTGCTTTTTATGTTACTGGGTGCTTTGGGGTTTCTCTTACGCTGACTTATTTTTGTCGGGATGGTCACGCTTTAGCTCATTTTGGGAGGTCTGACGACGGTTTATTTGCCATTGCTGATCGCGGATGGTTACTGGGTTGTCCTGTATCCGGACAGCTGCTTTATCATCAAACTCCATCTCAGTGCTATTCGTTGTGTAGTAGTGACGGCGATAAACATCTCCTGCAATCCTCATCCGTGTTTTATACCACTATTGATCTCGACTACTCTGTTTCATACTCTGCTGTCACATTACGTACTCCGCATTTTTCGCTTGATTCTATC